CCTCCCATGCCCACCTGTACTCACCGCTCACCTCCACTGCCCACCTGTAGTCACCACTCACCTCCACTGCCCACCTGTAGTCACTGTCTCACTTCACCTCCTAACAACATGCCGTACAGCAGGTTATTCCCTCCTTTTGGGCTGCCTGCCTAAGGGCCTTCTCTCAGCCACAAGATCCAGTGTTCCTATCTCCTGCGTAGCTAGGGAAAGAATCTTCTGCATCCTTCTTAATTTTCATCTTTTCTTATGTCAATGCTCCTCAAAGTCTAGCATTTGCAGAATTACCAAGAACTTGTTAAAATTCTGATTCCCAGATTCCTCTCACAGAAATCCTGATATAGCAACCCTGGGGAGGGGCCCATGCCTCTGTGTTTCTATCCAGCACTTGCATGATGCTTCAGCTATGTAAAGATGCCGGAATGTACTTTACAGCAAGCACCCAGAGGATATCTTCTAGCCCACAGACAGTGCAAACACCAGTGGCAACCCATTGAGATCTCCGACCCAGAGGTCTGGAGCACCTGCATCTCCTCCATCCCCAACCCACATCTGCAACATCCACAAAATTCAGAAAGAGTTATCCACTGTCCAGAAAATTCCAGGTGTGGGCTTTTTTTTTTATATAGGAATGTTTTCCTTTTTTCTTTCTTAATCAGGTCAGTTCTACCTATAAAATGCAGCCTCCATACCCTCAGCTACTGTCCCCCTGCTTACTCTGTGGCCCCTTCCCTCACCAGAGCCAAGCTGTGAAATGTCAAGCAGATCACAGTACATACCTCACACCTGTCTGAAGGCTCCAGGGCCCAGTAACATAGGATAGGACCCATACTGCTGAGACCTACCAGGCTACCTGTCCGAACCTATCCCACCACTGTCATGCTGGCTGTGTTTTCACTTCCTACCACACGATGGATACATTCCTAGCAGCTGGACACCAAAAGGCAACTGACCCCTGGAAACCTTACCCTTCCATGGAGATCAATGAGGAACCTGCAGGAGCTCATCCTCATTGGGTTCTTTCTAGTGTTAATGAGGTCATTGGCTCTGGGGAATGGAGGCCCTCACACTGGATCAGCATGATGTGTCTGTTATGTGTCAAAGCCAAGGACCAAGAGCCTCAGGATGAAATGAGACAGGTAAACACAAGCACAATGACCAGGACTTACCAGAAAGGAGCAAAGGAAGATAAAGGATACGAAGTAGAAGTAAGCAAAGTCACTCCCACACTCGCTGGCATTGGCATGTGGATCACAAGCCCGGTTGCTCAGACAAGACAGCATGATCTCATGCCAGGCCTCCCCCGTGGCACTCCTGAGGAGAAGAATAGATGTGTGAACCCACAGTGGGGCCAGAGCGAAAATCTGCAGCACATCAGCCAGGAAGTGAGGAGGTTGGGCCCTCGGAGAGCTGGGTGAATGCAACCCACTCCTGGGTTCCCACGCATAGACAAGGCCTATGTGACGGATGACCATTTCACAAGGACTCCTCTGACATTACATTTCCAAACTATCACCTGAGAAATAGTTACTAAGAGCCTGCTGCACTAGGATGGGTGCTACAGTGACCACTCTTCAGTGGACACAATAGGCCTAGCGGATTCCTGGTCTCCCAATATATGCCATTGTTATCCTCTTTTATTTCAAAAAGCCAGACTCAGCTTTTCTAGCTGCTTGGGTCCAAACTGCTTTACATCTTTGTCTCTAAATCCTGCCCATCAGCTCTCCTGCCCTGAGCAAACAGCTAAGCTTTCTCTATTCAGCTGAGGCCAGGCAGCAGTGATCTTCCTCAGCTGTCATGATAGCTCCACCTGCACAGCAGCTCAACAGGGATGGGAGGCAGGATGGATCTTCTTATTGGAGGGTGGGGATCAGGACTCAAACTCAGTCTCTTGCACTTGCCAGGCAGACACATACCACCGAGCTATTCCACAGCCCCCAGGAGGAATCTTGACTCTGCTCAGTTCTAGATTATGGCAGCCTTCTTTTCCCAACCTCATACCCCTTTGTCTCTGCTCAGGCTACCCCAGCTTTCCCTTCTCCAACATCTCAGACACAGCCCAGCCTGACAGTGCTCAGGATTAGCAGAAATCTTTGAGAACAAAGACATAAAACTAAGGCTGACAACACAGGTTTGCCTCATGTCTTTGTGTTTATGACATTTGACAGAATAAGTGAAGAAATAAAGTTAAGGCAACTGAAGCCCAGAGAAACATGATTCGGGGAAAGCAAGCACCTGAAGATACCTGTTCATCTCACGCAAAGAAACAAGAATGAGAAAATGTTCTCCAGGTATCTTGACAAAGCAGGTATGGTTTGGAGCTTACCCTTCTCCTAGGAAACAGCCATAGTACCAGGACATGGGACGGCAGCCAAAGTGCTGTCTCTGTAGCAGCTGAGCATATTTGTATAAGGGAACAAGGCAGGAGCCAATATCCCTGCAAAAACCTCTTTTTCCCCCTATTCCAGGGTCATACATAAGGGGCAAAATGAGAGAGACTCGGGAGGCAGGAAAACATTCAGCCCTCCTATTTGCCCAAAAGGTGACTCCCAGATGAGGCAGTTCAATATCTAGTCCACAGAGGGCGTCTCCTGTCTGAGAACAGCAGCTGGTACTAACCTCACTTCCCAGAAGGTATCTGAAGACCCTAAGTCTGTGCCAAGGGCCTTCTGCTCCTGCCTCCCACCTTGCTGCTCTGCCTGGCTGCATCCAGGAGCCAGGAAACAGGGTAGGAGGCAGAAGTACATTCCAACAAGTAGCTCTAGCCAGCGGGGCTCCTTGAGCCACTGAGCAGCTGCTGTCAACAGCTGTCCTCCCTAAAGTCTATCTCTCCCTCACTCTCACCACCTCTGTATCAGTAAAGGAGGGAAGCTAAAGACCAATGTGGTGACCTCTTCCCGCAGCACCCAAGCAAGACCCTGCCAGTCATCTCCTGTCCCCATAGCCTCACTGAAAAGCCCATTAAGATGTCACCAAGAAGCAGAAACAAGGCAGTGGTGTGCAGGCTTGCCCAAGGATCCCCAGTTTTCCATCTGTCCTGAGGCTGAGAAAGATAGCAGGAGCCCTTTGAAAAGAATGGGCAGAAAAAAGAACTGGAAAGGCCCACCAAGGGGAAGCAGGTGGGTGCAGGGGGTACGAGGAGAGGTCACCACATGGCACCCACCCTCCTCCATCCTGACGAAGCATGAGCACTGGCCTGGGCTGACCCCACAACACACCTGAACAGCAGCATCAAGGCTTGTAAGAATGTCCGGAAGTTGTTGTGCCGGTTGATGCTGGTTTCATCATCCAAGGCAATATTTCCAAACACCTGCAATGGAGAACCACAGCATTCTGACACAGCAAGTCCCAAAAGCCATGGCAGGAGGCTGAGCACGAAAAGGTGTGCATGTACCTGGGAGCTGCCCACGGCCCAGTGTGCATTACCACCACAGACAGCCACATGCTGGCTGAAAACTTATGCCCCAGTGCTCCACCTGCCCCTGGGATGGAGTCCGGCTTTACTGTGTGTAGGACAAGATCCACTTTGGGTCACAGTTAGTCACCATCCCAAGTCAGGAGTTGTACTGCAATAGCTCTGAGAGTTCACTAGAGAATTTCTTTTGAAACCTTTGTGAACACAGTGGAGCAGGCTTTTCACCCATTCTAACTGATTTTCTTCAGAGTAAAAAAGACAAATGAGTCAAGGACCAGACTCAGCCTAAAACCTGGAAGCTTGCTGCAAACTTATTAAACAATCACATTTCCACAAAGATCAGCAACATACATGCTCTTGTACATCCACAGACTAAAGCAAAATTATGTAATGTATAGTATCCGATCTCAGCAAATTTTAAACTGGACACTTTCAATGTGGTGTAATTAGAGTTTTAGAATCAGTTCAAGTTTAAGGCACTGGCACTTCCAACCATCAATTACCACTTAGTCAGTCTCCCACCCTTGATGTTGCAAAGTGACCAGATGCCTAAACTTTATAGCTAGACTGTTACATTTTTAAAATCCCCAGCCCTGGAATGGCAACAAAATGTTCTTCGGTAAAATGAAGATATGCTAAATCATGTGAGATGAACTTGTTCAAATGCGGTGATCTGACAGGATCCCACTTAGATGACCCAGTAGGACTCCTCGGAAGCACAGCTTTCCTGTAATGTGCCAGGAGCTGTTCCTCATCCTCGCAAGTCCAACAGAACGTTCAGGAGGCTGCTTCGCATTCTAGGATCTGCTCCAAATCGAGCCCTACACACCCCAGTACCCAAAGACTGCTGGGCCTGAAGGCTGCCCTCCAGAACATGACAGCATGGCTTTCTAGAGAGCCAGGAGTAGGCACAGAGCTGGTCTGTCTCTCACAGAGGGACACTGGGAACAGCCCAGCCTGGGTGCCTCCCGACCTGAAACAGTGCTTCTGAAGGTCAAAATCTCTCAGCATCTGGCTCACAGCCCATGTTCGCTAAGTATTAGCGAATTATTACTACCAGTGGATGACCATCACCCATACCCTCATGCTGCCATGAACAGAAGCCCCAGGTGCAGCTCAGCACAAGCAGATAGCACTTACCTGCATGCCGATGATGGCATAAATGAAGAACAGCATGGCGATGAGGAGGCACACATAGGGCAGCGCCTAGAGAAACAGGCACATCAGCTCCCAGCTGTGTCTGAGGTCCTACAGAACTTAGCCTGGCACAGCTCTACCCCCTGACTACAAGCCCCTCTGCCAAAGGACACCCCTGTTTCTTCATCTATAGATTGGGATCATAAACCTCACCTTAGAGCTTCTTTGGGCATTAACAAGACAATCATAGGTCATTCAGAATATTTTTATAAGCTGCAATAAGACCACAGGTACCAATGAAGACACAAATGTGCCCCACCCCTATACAATCTGCCAAAGGAGGGGACTACTGGGGAGGGCAAGAAAGATGACAAAGGAAAAGGAACATAAATGACCTGCAGAGAGCCATCCCACCCTACCCAATGTGGCACCCCACTTCACCTTGAAGGACTGGACAAAAGTCCACAGCAGGATGCGGATGGTGTAGCCCTGGCGGAGCAGTTTAATGAGCCGCGCAGCTCTGAAGAGACGCAGGAAGCTGAGGTTGATGAAGTTGTTCTGCAGAGGAGGAGGATTGCTCTTTGACCTTCAGAAATCACCCCCCAAAAGTGCAGACAAGCTTATTCCACCCCATGAGCTCTTCCCAAGTCCCTGTGTCCTCAAGGACAAGTACTTAAAAAGAAATCAAAACAGCTACTGCTTCATAGTCTAAGCAGCAATCAACAACAAAAACCTTCCAAAAGAAAAGCTTGCCACTGTGAGTCACTTCTCATGCAGCAAGTAACCCCTTCTACTCTAGGGCTATGCTCCAATCATCAGGGACAGAGACAGAAAGAAGCTCCCTGAAGTAACACTCTGCTGCCAGGTGATCCTGAGAGATGACCCAGGGACCTACAATAGTGACCACCTCTCACAGGACACAGCTAAGCTGTCCAGGTGACAAGCTGAAAGTGACTGCTTCTTCAGTGGATACTCTGGAGAGGACTGCCCTGCCCAGATTTGGCAGCCACACCCTTCCCTTGCAGGCTCAGCCAGTGAAATCCCTGCCTGCCTGGGACCCCAGCTGCTTCCTCCAGGGCTGCTGTGGTCAGGGAAAGGGCAGGTAGAGCCTCTCTGAAGCTCTTGCCCTGGAAGCTACCTGTGCAACCCTCAGTCCACAGGTCTTTGCTCCAGAGAACCCACATTGTCTAGTGCTGCTCAAAATCAAGCACAGAGATAAACTGATAAACCCAGATTCCAAAGATTACCTGGGAGTGAGGCTTACTCCAGCACCAGCTACCTTGAATTATAAGCAAGTCTTTTTCAATGGAGTGTGGCTATGCAGAGCCAGGCACTTTCTGCCTATCTATGTCCAGACCAGGTACCAGGTCTGAGGGCAGGTTCCTACTGGTTTGGCATTTTTAAATATGCAAGCAGCTCAGGCTCAGACATGTTTGTATTATCATATTCAGTGATCAAATAAAGAGAAAAGAGAACAACAATGTTGAATGAGACGGCAGTAGAGGAAGAGCACATGCAAGCACAGGGGCAGGGGACACCTGAGTAGACACTCCAGGGCTGCCTCTCTTGGCCAAGTGAGGATTCTGTGGAGGGAAGGGTCTAACACTGACTTCCAAGACATCTCTGTTCTGCCTGCCACCTCCACACTCAGATGAAGGTTTCTGTGATTCTCACAAGTGTGGCAGGGTCTCCTGACTATTGCTGCAGTGGGAGACCCAAGGTATCTAGAAGGACCCAAGTGGCACATGGAAGTCCTGGAGGTGAAACTGACTCTGAACAATGGCAGAGGGTTCAGGGAGCAAAAGAGGCCCCACTGTTCACATCAGCAAGGGTGGGACAGGCCTCAGCTCACAACCCTTGAAGAGGCACTGCTGCACCTGTAGTTCCCTGACCCACATGAATGAGGAAAGAAAATCTCAGGGACAGACATGATGGCCAAGAATGCTCAGTGGACAGTGTGGGGCCTGAGGAGACACAAACAAGCTCAGCCTCAGCAGACAGGCAGGGGATAGGACACTGTTCATGTTCAGGTAATTCCTGTATAAGATGGCAGACGGCAGGGTACAAGTATCCAACCTTTCTGGGGCTCCACTTTGAAAGCTCAGGGTCATGAAAGATGGGTCTGAAGGGACAAGGACTGTAACAACACTGCGCCTGCCCAGCTCAAAGTCATCTGGAGTTGAGCAGCTGGGACAGACAAGATTTCTTGACAATATGGGGAAAATGAACGCCCCTGGAATGAAAGAAGGGATGAAAGATGGCAGAGCAGGTAAGGAGTTGAGAAGAATAACAGCTCGTCTAAAGGACCTGAAGTGGGGACACTTAGCTTAGCCTGTATTGGGAACAGGTTCCCACCCCTTCTCCCAGCTGAGTACTCAAGAGAGAATCTGTTGCCTGGCAACAGACAGGCAACCCTGGAGTGCTGTGAAGACAGATGGCTACAGACACCCTCACATGGTGATGGGCTGGGCACCTTACATGCAGGGTGGCAAGGGACAGCAAGCACAGGGCTGTGCACCATGTACCATCACCTCTGGCCTCGGCCAACCTCTCAGAGGTGGATGCACTCTTCTACATCTTCCCAGGGTCTGTGGTTTCTGCTGCACAGTAAGCTGCTACACCCAGTTCAAAGGCTGGTCCTTGTTGCTACCTTCCTTTAAGTCAGCTATCACTCTACGTAAGGAAGATTCATTGAAGACTAACCTTTAGCCTCTGCCCCCTCGCCCAAGACCATGTTCAAGCACTAGGGATATCCATGTCCAGGAATAAGAGATCATTGAGGACAAAGATCACGATGTGTGCCAACCTTTGGCGGGCACTGGCCATGCGCCATGCTGGAGGAGGCCCTGAAGATGTCAGCAAGCTACTCCACTGCCTTCACTCTAGTGGGACTGACGGGTATAAAAGGAAAGAAAATGTGCCTACGCACATTCAGCACACACCTGGTAGCCATGTGTGCTAAAAGGAAGAGCGGTACGGGTGGGCAGGAAGAGCCATCACAGGAGGTGGTAGCTCCACGGCCTGAGCTAACGGCTGGACTCTTCTGCAGCATGCAATGCTGTTCTCTCAAAACTCAAGCTTTCTACTCTACCTGTAAAAACCTGCATGACAAACCTCTAGCCTCCATGAAAGGAATCTCATATATCTGCTCCTTTAGATGAATTTCCATAGCCACAAGCTGAAGTTGAGTTGTACCAAACACCCTTACTCTCTCCTCAAAATTCTTGAAGACCTGGCAGGAGGCCCCAGGTGCACCTGCACTCTATAGGTTAGCGACATGTGCTATCTATAGGGCACTACCCCTGCTTCTATTCAGGCCTTTTACAACACTTCCAAATCATGGAGCCCCAACCTGCACCCCAGTCCTGACCCCTGTAGAAGGATTTTCTCAGGAAGGACAGCTGTTATTGGGGACTTCACAGAGGCCAACCAGGCAAAGCTGAACCTTCTTTGTGTATTGGAAAGATGGGAACAGCAGAGAGGAGCTAAGTGTGCAACAGAAACCACAGAATTGCAGGGACCCAGATCAGTCTCTTCCTGCCAGGCTCAGCAAGAAAATCTGTCCTGGGCACTTACCCACCTTCACTGCAGAATCGCCTACCTCCCCTCCCTGGCCTGGTCCTAGATTCAGACAGCTTCCCGGAGGCCCTCAGAAGGATCCTGGGTGCTGGGGAGAGTGCACAAGAAGCCAGAGGCGAGTAAGTGCAGCAGAATCCAGCCACGCCTCAGAGGGCAATGGCAGGAACCCGGAAGTGAGAGAAGTCGAGCACAGCAGGCAGAGGAAGGCGGCGTAAGAATCATTTAAAGTCATGAAACCAACCGTTTCCTATATGTGATGTTTTCATGGATGGGTATTTGCATATTATTTACAAATTAGGGTGGTTTGAGCAGCAGGTGCGCAACATACAGACGGAGACATGAGTTTTCGCATTGTATGTTGGTTGGGTGGCGTGAGTCAGCAGTAGGTTAAGGTAAATCAAGAACAAAACAGAAAACAAAAGAGAAAATGAGTCATCAACACAAGCAAAAACTCAAACTGAATACTTAACTAGAAAATGTTAGGATTTTTAGTTAACTTCATATTTGTCTCAAAATGCATTAAATCAAAACATATTTTTGAAATCTGTAAGCTATGCAGACAGAGCATCACCCATTTGCATTGTTTGTAATGCAAATCCAAAGATGACTCACAGACACTTAATTTTTTTTTCAATTTCCAGGCAAAGAAATCAATGTCAGTTTGATGCATGCTTGGAGCCCTCTCTAGGCACCCTTGCTAAGACTATTTCTCTATTTTGATTTTCAAGTTGGGGATAGAAACTGACACTCATATTTTTGCCGAAAGAAAAAAAAAGTGCATTCACCAAGTAAACATATGAAGTGGCTCTAAATGAAAAACACACACACACAAACACCACCAATCCACATGATGGTTTTCATCTTTTCTCCTTCAGGAAGAACAGGAAGGTGACCTGAGCTTCAAGAGCAATAGTGGTCAAAGGACAGCTGGCTTGCAAACCAGGCAGCTTGTCAGCTCCCCTTCCTACCATCCCTGCCAGGCACCATGGTGGACAGGGGCTTCCAACTGTGCTTGTTTTAAGCCAGGCCTGATATAACCACTGGTATATTTCCACTGCCTGCACTACAGAGGGCCTCTGTGGGTACACAGCATTCCACATCTATGATGTCAGCCCACAACTCTCTTTCAGACCCCTCTATGCTCCCTCTACAGGCAACAGTTTGGAGGTCTCTCCTGGAATGGAGGTAACCCCTGCAGAAATTCCCAGAGCTATCCTTACAACTTTGCATCACTTTATCTGGATGAATAAGGGTTCCTACTTCTAAGAAATCCCATATGTATCAGAAATGCAGCCAGCCTACTCCTTGGAACCATATGGAGCCTAGTATTTCTGGGTGGGACACACACACAGAGTGAGGGGGAAACCGCCTGCGAAATGCCACAGCATCTGGAGCTGGTGGGATAAAATCATCCTGTTCTTCATTTTTCTATTATTTTGTTTTGTTTTGGTGTGTGTATGTGTGTGTGTGTTCTGTAAAATGCCTAATCAATTGTACCTTCTGGGCTGGGCTTGGTGACGCACACCTGTAATCCCAGCACTTGGGAGGCTGAGACAAAATAACTGCAAGCTCAAGACCAGCCTGGGTTACGAAGGGAACTCCAGACCAGCCTGGGCTACGCAGGGAGCTCCAGACCAGCCTGGGCTACACAGGGAGCTCCAGAGCAGCCTGGGCTACGAAGGGAGCTCAAGACAGCCTGGGCTACGAAGGGAGCTCCAGACCAGCCTGAACTGCATAGCGAGACTCTGTCTCAAAACAGACCAAAAATTAAAAAATGTCCCTTCTGATCATGTTTCCACCTGTCTGCTTTTGTCTTTATTACTGACTGACAAAGGACATCCCACATTCTGGACATTAACCTTTGCTAGTTGTTCAGAAAGCCTCCTTTCCTTTCCCTGGCACACTTGCCTAGTCTCTTTCACTAGGTCCAGCTCCTCTCCTGGGTCACTAAATCCAGAGATCAGTCACTCACTTTTTACCAACCTCATCCAGTCTCATAGACCTGACACATTTCATATGCTAATAATTCCCAATTTTATGTCATTGGCCTGAATCTTCTCCAAACTCCAGGCCTAAATGTCCAACTTCCTTCTGTACAATTACTCTGGAAACTGGACATTTTTCTCATTTGATTCATAGTAATCCATTTTTCCAATCATTCAGGCTATAAAGTTTTGTATTATTTTTGCCTAATCTTTCACACTCAAATCTGCTGCACTTACTGCTCTACCATATAATTTTTTTATGGGAGAAGGGGTTTTATTATTTAAAAAATTGATTGACATTCATAGTTCCATGTAACAATATCAGAAATTTGATAAATAAAACAATTAATAAAGAGAGACCTCTCTTCCACAAAAATCAAGGGTGGAATTTCATGGCAGGAAATCCAGCGCAGACTTGGTGGCTCGTGGGGCCATTACAGGGGCAGCTCGTGGTGTCATAGTTTCGTTTGCTGGGCATATTGCCTGAGTAGTTTCATTCCCCACCCCTTAGAATTTGAAGGTATCTAAGCAATCACGAATATTTTACCCAGAGTTTTTAGGAAAATACCTTGACAAAATGAACAGTAAACTTTTTTTGGTAATTAAAACCATTTCATATGTACTTGAAATAGGGCCACAGAAAGATTAGTTTGTTTTTCCTTTCATTTTGAGGTTTAAATTCAGTAGAAATTTTAAGTGAAAAAAAGACAGTTATCTATTCTCCTAATTTTTAGCAGCATGACTAGCAATTATGCGAAAACAATTAAAAAAAAACACTGTAGCAAACAACTTCTCTGTGGCAGGTTGCTTATTCAGAACAGCGGAAGGTCATGTCAGGTGCACATCTTCCAGTCACATCATGGTAAATCTGCCTCGCAATGTCTGGAAGCAGGAAGCTGGCACCCATGTGAAGTAGTTCTGGCTTCAACCACCCCTACTTTGTAAGCGAGAGCCAGGCCAGGCCACCCTTGGCAGTGCAGATGCCTCCCGCAGGTTTAAAGCCCACCCAGTTTTCCAGAAGAAATCTCTAATGGCTCTTAGCATTACGATAGCTACTGGGAAGGTGACATTTACTGTTTCTTTTCCAGTAGAGGTGTTAATAAAGTCTGATTCTGCCATCACTGCTGTCATACTGGCTTCGTAAACGTTAGCAAGACGCCCAAGCTCTCCTGTGGCTAGGATGGTTTTGAGATGAGCCTTCCACTAGGGCTTCCCACTGGCCAGTCAGCACCAGGGTCCTGTTAATGACCACGTCAATTTCCACAGCCAATCTGATGTCTTCTAATCACATTTTTAAACGAGTTGGTGCAGCTGGAAAGCCAATGGCCACTGGCACCACTAGAATGCCACAGCTCGCAGTCCACAGTACTTTCACAGTGTCACAAACCCGGGCAGGATAAACACAAACGGCAGCCGTAGTGATGCCTTCATCATACATACTTAAGGCTCTTAAGAGATCATCCTGGATTGGGTGTTTGGATTTATAACAGAGCTTTGAATACTGGAAAAGGGTATCATCACCAGACAGCATAGTGACATCTATAAAGGTAACAGCTTTCAGGAGCCAAGCAGCCTGCCACTCCTTCACAGTTCTGTGAGCCTGGATTTGTTCCACCTGCCTCAGAACTGCCAGCTGATTCAATTGTATTTTGGAGATCCAGCTAAGGTCAAGCTCGGTGCCGTGGCTGCGTGCAGCCATTGCACGGATGTGCGGCTAGACTCTCTACTTATATTTGAATTCAGATATTTCTCAGCTGGGATCCAGCTCCCAGCCCCACAGCCTGGCTGCCGGCAGGGATGCCCTGCAGTACCACAGCTCCCAGCTCACCATCTCAGAGTCAGTGCCAATTTTAAGGTTCACATTTTTTCCCCAGGCCAGGTCAGAAGTGTCAGGTTCAACATTCTCCGCCCTTCACCTGCAGAAGCCTTCATCTAGCAATGGTCTGCAACTGGTGGAAACTTCCCCAGATCCCTCGCTCACTACAGAATGCCTGGACATGCCCCACACTGGATCTGGGCTACTTAGAAAGACTAAGCTCTTGCCATCACAGAGGCAACACACATCTGTCTCTGGCAGCCACTGTGCTCTCTGGCTTCACCACCTATCCACTGTTCGTAAGATCACATCCCAAATGAGCAACTCACCCAGTTCATCTCAGGCCCTTTCCAGCTGAACTCAAAGGAGACAGCTGCTAACTGGGGAGGATGTCCCCATGCCATATCCCCAACAGAGAAGCTAAAAGGGTGTCCTCACAGCCAAGCCATGTCACCCCTTCTTCAAGGCCTTCCACTCTGTCTCACATGTAACAGAAGCCTATGTCCTGTATGACACAAGGCTGTCCATGTCCCTTTCCTCCATCTCGATGTTCATTCCACCCTTATTCACACAGCTCAGCAGCACCACCTCCTTCTGTTCCTCGTGCATGCAGCTACAGCACAGGCATGGTAGGCAAAAATTCCAAATTTGCTTCCTGTTATGACTGTTGCTTTACATGTTTTGCTTAGAAAATCAGTCCTGTCTCAAGATCTTAAGAGTAATCTTCGGCATTTTTTTCCCACAAGTTATAAAGTTTGCCTCCAATCTTTCATCCATTTAAAAGGGATTATTTTTTGTAAATGGTATAAACTGAGATCAAATATCTAGCATTTCTTATACTGACACCAATTAACACTCACATTGATTACTGAAGTGTTACCCCATTTCCCACTGAGCAAGTCTTCTCTGTCCTAAATCACATTTATATACATAGATCTTTGATTCTAGGCTCCTGGTTATTTCCATTGCTTAGTTAGCTACCTCAGCTAACGTTACGTGCTCTTTGTGTCCTAGCTTTAAAACAAGCTTCCTCGCTGGCAGGGCACATACCTCCAAGGCCACTGTAGCCTCGTCTGTTCATATTAAAGCACCCTGACAGCTTAGGGACCACTGCTCTTCCTCATATATCGAACAGCTTTTTTTGAAATTCCAAAGAAAATTTTTTAAAAATTGGTATTTTCATTACATATGCACTGAATCACAAGTCAATTTATAGAAAATCAATAATCCTATAAAATTGACAATAATTAATATGTCATTTCATCTATTTTTAATGTATTTCAATAAAGTTCAAAATTTTTCTACAGAAAGATGTTGCACACATTTTGACTTTATTGTCAGAACTATTTTTAAAGAAATACAATTGATTTACTTGAGTGATCTTGTATTCAGCAACCTTGTTAAACGTTCTAAATAGTCTTAAGACTAATCTAGGTCTGACTCGCA